GTCAGCCCACGATAGCGGGGCGCTGTGAGGATCTTTTGTGTATTACCCCCCCCCCCAGGCATTGGCAGGTATTCAGTCTTGTGCCCATATCCCGCCCAGACCAGTCGTTACTGGGATCTCTCTGTGAAGACTGGAATCTGCTGAGAACAGTATGGGGCATGTTGGATATTTCTTACAATATTCTTTGGACCACCGTCACCCAGTCACACAGCTGGAAAATATTTTCTGAGATGAATGTTTACAAAAAAGATTTAGAGAGGAGAGGGAAGAAGGGAAAGAGAAATAATCCAAACCCGGGTGGAAGTGGGGTCACAGAGAACAGACCTCACAGCCCAGCTGCCCCGTCTTTGAGAACAGTCGTCAGAACCTTGATTTGTTAAATTAGAATTTTAAGTCCTTCAAGTTGTATTTAATTGATCACCCTCATGGTTCTATAACATCCATAATAAAGTAACTGAGTGCCTACTAAGCACCTTGAAAGTTGGGTATTATTAGCCCTATTTCTCGAGCGAGGAAACTAAGGCTAAATGCCTTTTCCATAATTTGCCCAGCGTCACCCAGTTACTTAGCAGAAGAGTTTGGACTGGAACCCAGGCCCTGTGTCCTCTGGGCTGCATCTCCTTGCCTAGGTCCCACTTCTCCTTGGCTGACAAACTAAGGATATGTCTTCGCATCCTTAAATTCTAAGCCTCCCTTAGAAATATCTGCCCCGATAATGCTGTAGTTTGTTTCCAGGCTCCTTGCCAGCTTTCTGTTTCTAAGATGCATTTGATAATTCCCTGTTCAGAGCTCACACACCTGTCAAAAGACACCGCAGTTCATCCCCAGGGACAGTCAGCGTCCCCCACCCTGGATGCCAGGTGCTGTCAGAAGCTGGGACGCAGGCGCCCCCTGGGCACTGGTCTTCTGCATCGGTGGCTGTCACTGATGAAGTGTCCCTTGGAATGGCGCAGACAGAGCTGCGAAGCAGCCAGCAGGCCCACCCGCGTATCTCCTGTGGTTATCAGCGTTCTCATTGGTGGTATCGGATTTTCTGGAATTTTTTAGCTTTGCAGCATGTTCATGGGAACTTAGATGATCCCTGAGGAAATGCCTTTCTTCAGACACTAGTTCTAAAGGGAGGCAGCCAAATTCCCACTCATCTGGCAGCCCAGTTCTTTCAGCCGGGGACAGAAAGGGAATTTCGGAGGCCTGAAGGGGGCAGGCACAAACATTTCCTGCCTCTGTTTTTTCAATATAGAACTTGGAGCCTTTTCTGTCAGCCAACAGGCAGGTCCTTAAGAAGCAGGGAAGGGGAGGAAACCAGCGCCCTGCGAGCCACACGCTGTCTGTTGGAATTAAAGGTCCTTCCTGTCTTGTGACCCCCACAGTTCTGACTCGTCTCCCATCCACCCTCTGTGACTTCCATTCTTAGGACTCCTCGACTCTGCCCTTAATTTGTGCATGAATTTTACATCCACCTGATAGTCTCTGGGATCCAGGAAGCATATGCTCCACACCAGCTTCAACTCTTTCTGAAACATCATGGTTTTTGGTTTAAATGCTTCCAGCTACCACCGGAGTCAGCTTCCAGATTTCTCTCTCCTGGGCGTGCTGTGAGTTCATGCCACGAATGAAGAAGGTGACTACGTATTAATAAAGATGTTTGATTTACCAGCAAGATGTAATTCTAAATATGTGTGCTCCTAATAGCATTACTTTGAAATGTGTAAAAAAGCAATTGTCGGAACTATAAGAACAATTATCACATCGAAAATCACAGAAGGACATTTTCACACATCTCTCTCAAAAGTGATAGATCAAATAGACAATAAATCAGTAAGGAGTTAAAAGATTTGAAGGACACAATTAACAAGCTTGATCTAGTGGATATATGCCGTACACTGAAAACACATTCTTTTCAACACATGGGACATTTATAAAAATGGATCATACAATAGCCCAAAGAGAAAAATCTCAGCAAAATTCAAAGAATCTAGATCATACAGCCCACATTCCCTAACAGTTAAATTGGAAATTAATAATGAAAAAATAACTAAGGACACCTCATACTTTTGAAAATTAAAAAACATTCTAACACGTGAATCAAAGGAAAAAATCAAACAGAATTAGTAAAATTTAGAACTGAATAATCATGAAAATAATCACCTGAACTGGGGGGGTATAGATAGTAAACAGTATCAGAGGGAAGACAGTAGCCTTACTTCTTATGCTAGAGATGAAGCAAGTCTGTAAAATAATAGACTGAGCATTTGACTTCAGGACGTTAGAAAGAGAAAGGTAAATAAACCCAAAGAAAGAAGGAAGGAAGGAAACAACAGAAATAAGAGTAGAAATCAATGATAGAAAAACTATATAATAGAAAGTATTAAAAAAAAAAACACCAAAATTGTCTTGTTGTTGTTTTTTGTTCAAAAGACTAACACAACTGACAAGCTGCTGGCAAGATTGATGAACAAAGAGAGAAGACACCAATAACCAATATTAGGAATGCAAAGATGGCATCACTGTCAATGCTGCAGACATGTTTAAAGACAAACACGGTATTATTGGCCACTTTATGATGATTATTTTGAATAGTTGGTCAAAGCTCATACATTCCTAGAAACATGTAACTCCCAAAATGAATTCAAGAAGAAATACAAAACATGAATCACCCAATAATCAAGAAAGAGAGTGAATCATAGTTAAAATGTTTACCACGAAGGAAACATCAGACTGAGATGGATTTGTAAGGAGTTCTACAAAATAACCAAGAAATGAATCATCCTAATCTCACACAAACTATTCCAGAGTGAAGGGAAATAAAGGAACAGGAGCCATTTCATGAATCAGAGAGATATTTGATGCTAAAAACGAATAGCTACAAAAGAAAATGCAAATTTTAAAAAAAAAAGTGTAATTTACAATTGGCAAAAAGAAGTAGAGACCATGGAAGAAAGAACACTGACAAAAGGTATGCAGAACTCGATACAAAGCTTTAGAGACATTGTAGAAGACTTAAACAGAAACACCATTCTCATGAGGAAGAACACAGTATCCGAATCAAAGATGGTAATTTCCCCCAAATTGATATATAAGATAGACACAGTTCCCATCAAAATTCAAAAATATTTTTGTAATATTTTTAAATGATTCTAAACATTATCTGGAAGAGCAAATGGTCAAGAATAGAATGACACTTCTGAAGAAGAAAGAGAAGAAACTAAGGGAACACGGCTGCCGGAAAGCAAGGACTAGAAAGCAACAGTAATGAGAGTGCTCTGGCGTTGCCTCAGGGAAAGACTAATGGGCCAGTGGACCAAAATTAGAAAGCCCCAAAATACACTCATACATATAAGGAAACTTGATATATTGCAAAACTGATACTGCAGATCAGTGGAGAAAAAAGATGTACTAAGTCAGTAAATTCTGCTGGGACAAATGAAAAATAAAGCCTACTCTATGCAAAAAGTCAATTCCAATTTTAAATGAAGAACTTAAAAATGAAAAACAAAACCTTTAAAAGTTTTAGTACATCAGAGAATATGTTTATGATCTTAGGGTAAGGAGGATTTCTTAAACAAGATGTAAAAAGTAAAAATCATGAAGGGGAAGATTCATAAATTTGACTACATTAAAAGTAAGGACATTGATTCACTAAAACACATCTATTCACCAAATAGAGTAAAAAGAGCCACAAACTGGGAAATTGTGTATATAAATTTAATACTAACAAAAGATTAGTATCTAAAATACTGTAGGTCAAGAACTCCTACAAATCAACAAGACAAATGAGTCAATTGAAAAATGGGCAAAGGCACAAGCAGTTCACAAAAGAGAAAACCTAATTGACCCAAAAATATATATTTTAAAACATACCCAATCTCATTAATAATTTTAAAAATTAAAGCCACAATAAGATGATATTTCACACCAATTAGCAAAAATAGTCAATAATACCATGTGCTAGAGAAGATGTGAAGCAAGGGCAAGACTCATATATTGACAATGAAAGTATAAATCTCAAGGAAGGGGGGCTGGGGGTGGACATGGGCTCATAAAATAGGCTTCAAAGTCACTGGTAATATGTTCCTTGCATTGAATTATGATATATGTGTACTTTTAATATTGCCTGTCTTTATAATACACATTTATGTTCTCTACAATCTTATGTATGTATGGTATATTTCACAATAAAGCAGTAAGCAAACAAACAAACAAGGCCAGAGACTGAAGAACTACACTTGGAAGCCATAAAATGGACCCAGTGGGTTCAGAAGGATGAATGTGAGATCGCAAAGATGCGTTGAGACTAATCCATGGCTGAAACGAGAAAAAGGCTTCACTAGAGTGAGAAAAATCTTTCAGGTGGGACCGAGACTCCTGCTGGTGCTATTGGAGGCTGCCAGGGAATTCCATGAGAACTAAATTAATGATTTGAGAAGGAAAGCTTGAGTAAAGGAGTGTTGACCTTCTTTTGTATCCAAGAAGGTACATAATTTGCACTCTTGCAGATACAAAAAAGATACTATCTTTTTATAAATATGAAGACATTGGTATCAGTTACCTAAACATATAAAGGATTATTTTTCCTCACTTAGCAGGAAGTCCAGAAGTAGGACGTGCAGTGCTTGTCCCTTGAGTTAGCAATGTTTTCTAAATCCAGGCTCCTCTGGCTTTCCACTCTGCCATTTTTAGTGTGTGGGCTTTTTGTCTCAGATAGCTTCAAACTCCTCATCTACTTTTAATGCATCATTAGGGCGTTTGCCTGACTCCTTTGTCAATAAAGACTTTCCTAGAACTTTCCTATGGCCTTCCGCTCCCATCCTAGTAGCCAGAGTGGTGTCACACAGCCATTTCTAGCTGCAAGAGAGTCTGGGAAAGTGTTTTGCCATTGTGGCCTATAGAGCAGGAGCAGGCAAGAATGAAACAAAAAGGACTGGCAGTGGTTTCTAAGCAGCAATTCAGCAGCTTTTGTCAAAATCCTTCCCTAAGAATTCTTCCTCTTTTCTCCCCAGGAGCCAGTCTACGTGATGACTTAGGTAAATACTTCGCCTTCCATCACTCACATGGAGACACCATGAGTGCCATGGATCCAAAGCAGATGAACGTCGCTGCCGCTGTTTGGGCTGTTGTCTCTTACGTCGTTGCAGACATGGAAGAAATGCTGCCCAGATCCTAGCAAGAAAAAGAAAGAGAGTATTTTTGCCCTTTCTAGCCAGGAACCCTGGGTCTTCAGCTTTCGGAAGCCCCTCTTCACCTAATAATTTCATCTGGTTCATTTTCAAAAAACACACTTTTTCATACTATCATTATCTTTTCTGATACTTTCCATATTCTCTGTTTCTAAAGGATCCCCCCCCAAAAAAAAATCAACATATATTAGGGATCACAGTGGGGGCATTTCTTTATACCACCTGTAAAAAATATTGTTTCTGTTTTGAAAGTAGAATACTGGATAGATATTTGGAAAAACTCTGATTTTTACAAGTGTATATATGAACATTAAATCAAATACAGCAACATTAATTTTTTTGTTATTTATTGAAGGATTAGAGGAATACACAATTGTAGTATGGTCTTAATTGAATGTATGGAGTCATTTTACTTTCTAATTTTTATTTAAGGTATGGATTTTTTTAATTAAGAGAAAAAAATGTCATCATTTAGGGAAAAAGTCAAGTATATATAATCCCATTACCTTATTAAAGATGACTACTAGAGTCTATCACCAGATAAATGATTATACTATCTTACATTTGTGTTTTATATATTTCACACACTATTTTTTATGAAGCTGGGGCTTATTCACATTTGATGATAAAAGTATTGAGGCTCAGAGAGGCTAAATAATATTCACAGGGCCCTATGCAGCAAAAATATTGATTGAAATCCACTCTGGGAACAATCTCTACTATTCTTTCACACACAATGCCCAATAGTCAATAAAAATTATAAGACACACCAAAGAATGCAAATAAATAAGTAAATAAATTCATTATCAAGAGTTAAAGCAAGTAAGAGCACTAGACTAAGAGATAACCCAGATGTTGGAACTATCAGAGTGGGACTTTAACATAACTATGATTAATATGTTAAAGATCTAGTGGGAAAAGTGGACAACATACATGAACAGGAAAATATTGTTTAACAGAGAGAAAAAACTTTAAAATAGAGCCAAATGCAAATACTGAAACAAAAAATGCAACATCACAGATGAAGAACTTCCTTGTTGGCTTATCAGCAGACCGGAAAAGACTGAGAAAAAAAAATCGATGAACTTGAAAATAGGTCAACAAAATTTATACAAACTAAAACACCACGAGAAAAAAGTGAAGGAAAACAAACACCAGAACGGATCATCCAAGACTAGCTAATGTGTATGTTGGCCTAATATACATGTATTTGGATACTAAGTAGTATCTGCGAATTACCAGAGTCCAAGGATAATCTGTGGTTTATCTGGTAATCATCCTTAGTTTCTAGAGGATTATTTTCTAGAAAGAATATATCCAGTTTTGTAGTTGGCACTAAAAACTCTTGGACTAACTGGTTGACTCTGTTGTTTCCTAAAATTTATATCCCACTGAATTAGTTTCTTTATTTCCTTTAAGATCAGTGGAGGGGACTCCTCAATAGGAACACAGCCACACTCAGGACCCCCGCCTCCCTTGGACTTGGAGCTCCTGGGCTTTCCCCCTGTCAGCCCTGAACATCATCTTTAGATCGTCCCTACGGATCGTGAAGCTGAAATCAAGTTCCATTTTGTATTCTCTGCTCATCGCCACCACCCCCTTCCCTGGTCACTCCTCAATTTTAAACTTCAGAGCAACTTTGAAAGAGAAAACCGTCACAAAGCTGTAGTCTACTCTCAAAGTCCCACCAGCTGGCAAAAGTATCATTTTCTCCGCCACCAGCTGCCTCCTGTGTCACTGCACCCACCTACCTCTTCCTCCCAGGAGACTAAACCCCTCTCCACGCCCGCCTTCGGCACAGGGTTTGGGATTGTACCCCATTGCCTGTATCCAAGAGGCAGTTTTAAGGAAATGTATCCTATTCCATTCCTCTGACTTTCTCCATAAGGTTGTCTATTCCCCTTAAAAATACATATATTTATAGAGGGCCACGTAATAGCAGAAGTGGCCCATTTCTTCCCCGGGGGGGAAGGGACAATGTGGCTCTGCACAGGTGGGCGGTGTTGGTGACTATGGCTATCGGCAGCACCGACAGTCGGGACGTGCGTGGCCGTTGGGGAAACAGGAAGGTGGGAGAAGAAATGCAGAGAAAAGGGGGCGTCTACAGTTTCTCCTCGTGAAGACTCCCCCCGCGCCCCCAGGGCCTGGGCCTGCCAGCCAGCTGTGGGAGCGGCGCATGCTGGAGCCGTCGGCCCCCGAAAGCACAGCTCTTATCGTCCACAAATCGTGGTGAAAGGAGCCGCTTGCCTGCTAAGAAATGATGTCTCCTTTGAGGGGTGGCCTGTTTCCTGGGCTTGCAGTCGTTTTCCAGTTTGACTTTAGGGTCCAGTTGCTTTTCTGATTCCTTTGTCTGTGTAGACTTAGATGGAAATTGAGAAGAGAAGTCCATTTAAATATTATTACATCATGTGAAAAGGGTGGATTCTGTAGCAGAAGGAGGAGGGGATTGGAGGGAAAGGAGGCTGATTGTTGATCTGCCCCTCGCATTGTTAAGATGTGGCTTTGAGGGCTCTGGTGTGTCTGTGAGTGATCTGGAGTGTGAGTTTCCCCAGCGTTCCCCCTTCCTCACAGTAATTACACAAATGACACCCAGCGCGTTTTGGCGTTTTGACCATCCTCACGCGTCTATACTGCAGGCATCTCGTTGCCACGCGGTCCTGTTTGCTCAGGGTGCTCCCTTCGTAATGATTCGAGCTGCCGCCCATTTACCTTGAGAAAATATCAGCCGCGTCGTGATATCTGTATCTGTCTCATGAAATATACATCCTCTCGAACGGCGCCCCCGTGATTAATTCACTGCCATGTGACGATTAGCATAAAAATCTCATCACAACACGAGATAGGAATGTTATCGCTAATTGCCATTTGAAGTGAAGAAATTTTTTTTGCGTAGAAATTAATGACGCATGCTTGCTTCTCAGTACTGTTAAACCAGAAAACCCTAAACTGTTTCTGGAGCAGAAAGAAATTACTTTTGAAGTTTGGGGGTTTTTTTTCCCCTCTTAGATGATTCATCGTTCAGCAAAGGAGTGGTGTAAGGCAATGGTTAACGGAGCTTTGTACACGAGGTGAGACAGATGAACTCAGCCCTCATCCGATCAGGTCTTCCGATCAATCAATTACTCAACTTCAGACACAGACCTTTTCCCTGGACCTTTGGGCCTCCCCTTGGCCCTGAAACTTGACAAATAGACACTCTCATGTCTGCAGCACATCCTAACAGTGCTCAAGTCCTCACTGTCATTGGTGGCGATCCCAGCTCTGCTCCAGGAGCCACACAACCAAATACAAGCTTGACGGTACCCCAGAAAGCTTTGTTCGGTTTTCCAGGTTTAAAGAGCATTTAGCTGTGCCTTAGATCTTGATGACAGAGTCACGCCTTAGTCCAATTCTCTTAATTCCTTATAAGTGCCAACCAGTTTATTCAGAGATTGTAATGGAATATGAGTTATCCCCGAGCTCTGCCTTGCTATCCAAACCATCACCGTTACCGCTAATACCCATCCTGGGCCAATTATGCTGCGTAGAACTTTATACTAGGCATTTTCCATTTAATGCTCACCCAATGCAATGAGCTAAATCCGATTTTAATCCCCATTTCAGAGATGAGAAAACCTGGATATACTGCTCACAACTAACTTTTCCAAGGTCATGGAGCTGATGAAATGTGGCAGAAATCTAGAAAATTCAAACCAGAATAGGCCCCTGAGACAAAGTATCTGGCCAGTGGCCTGTCTGGCCTTCGCTGTGTGGGTAGATCCTACCTAATGAGTGCGTTGCCATTTCGAGCAATAGAAAGTAGTATTTGAACAGTGCAACGCTTTGGCCCAAGAAAGAGGACCTTGAGCTCTTAGAGGTCCCCACATATCACAAACACACATGAAAGATGAATGTATTGAGGGATGTATGGATATTTCTGTCCCCAGCAATCCAGCGCTCGGGACCTGCCCAGCATGGCTCGTGGCTCTAAGCACGTCTCTCAGGCTAACGCCGTTCAGGCCCCAGAGAAACACTGCTCCCGGGTCCTTCCTCGGAGGGGACACTGTCTGGATGTTGTGAATGTAGACGCTGCCTCAGAGGGTGGGGATTTCAGGAGCACAAGTGCTGAAGAAGAAAAGACAAATTCATTAACTTGCCAGATCTTTTCTCCCAGAGCATGAATGCAGCAGATTCCTGCAAAGCGAGATATCGTTTCCCAGAAGTGTGGAGCCCGCGCTGTCTAAATCTCACCCAGTTCCAGGGCGTGGTTCTGAAGGTGCTCAGAAATAAGCCTGTCATTCACGACAGTCGCACGTGGTGGCCTATTGCATTATTTAATATTTGCGACATTAAATAATTTGTATTCCTCATGGATTTGAGTGTCTGTTGATCTAGGCATAGCAGTTTTCCATAGCTTAGATGGGCAACTGGATGGACATGTCATGCTAGAATTGCAAATAGTGTTATTTTTGTAAAATTAATAATATTTAACAAATATTTTAAAATTTAAATAGGAAATGCCCACTTTGTTTTTATTTTAAAATTTGCTATTTCTTAATTCCAATATATATTTCTTTTTAAATCAGTAGTTAATTGTTAATGATTTTTAATTGTATTTTTTAATACATGTAACAAAATTTATCACCTTAACCATTTTTAAGTGTACAGTTCAGTGGCATTAAGCACATTCACATTTTTGGTACAACCGTCACCACCATCCATCTCCAGAATTCATTTTGCAAAACTGAAACTAGATCATTCTTGTGGTAGAACTGAACAGGTTCTTTGATGGGGGCGGGGGCGGATGAGCTCAGATGGTCTCTCTAAAGAGGGAACATTTGGGTTGAGTCCTGATGCGTGAAGAGGTGGTGACAGCTGTCCTTCAGAATCCATCCTAGCCTTGTCATGGTAACAGAGCCCCTAAATGCCAGCTGGATTATATTGTCCCTTCCCAGGGAGTCTCCTTAAGGGGAGCTAGGGAAACGGGCATGCTCTTCTCCTCTCATCTTTTTTATTTTATTTTCACCCAAGGATATATTTTTTTATTTTAGAAAAAGAGAAAGGGAAGGGGAGAGAGAGAGAGAGGCACATTGATGTGAGAGAGAGACAGTACATTTCTCATATGTGCCCTGACCGGGGAACGAGCCCGAAACCTAGGTGTGTGCCCTGAGCAGGAATCGAACCTGCAACCTTTTGGCGTGTGTGACGAAGCTCCAACCAACTGAGCCACCCGGCCAGGGCTCATGTCTTTTTCGTTGGGAGGCAGAAGCAGCCGCTGCCGACTTGGACCATGCAGTGAACTTGGGAATGGAGGTCACACACCGTAGGGAAGCGAGCAGGAGGGGTATGGGCCCC